TAAATTCAAACCGACAATTGTAGTTCCGTTGCAGAGGATTTATAGAAAACACAAATAGATTGAAGTAAAAACAACACTCACTGTGTGTCACTTGTTTCTGTGTGGACAATTGATGGAGGAAAAACCATCATATCATAATTGGCGGCTTAATGGTACAGGTAATTGTCGATCTCAGAAAAGAAATCTTAGAAAATAATTGATTAAAACAGTCAAATAATCAAAGTCAATGCTCATAAATACAGAAAGGAGCAAACTTTGAACATGTAAGATGAGTTGAATTGTTCAAATAAATTCCAATTACTGGAATTAAATTTCAAAGTAAAAAATTAGAGACTTACCTTTGTGTTTTGACCATAACAGAGAGGAGGAGCAACCTCATAGCTGAATAGTTTTTAGATAGAAACAAAATAAAATTAGAAACCTGCTTTATGGTTTAAAATGCAACAAATTGTAAAATAAAATTGGTAAAATAGAACTATTAGATGGATAAAGAACCAGTATCGAATACCAACTTCATCCTTATTAATAATAAATGTTGTACAAGTTGGATACTTCTCACTTATTCTATAAAATTTTATTCGGAAAGTTAAAAAGAAAAGAAACCCTGCTTACTTTCTTATCTATCCTCATTGCGTCCAATCCACTCTCGATCTCAGGTTTGAAGCAGTCACAGCATTCCATGTGCGTAAAAGAATCTCGATGGAGATAAATTGTAAAACATTTACATAGGCTGGATACATATTTTTTAATTTCTAAATTTAAAAAATAAAAAAGAAAGAAAAAGAAAAGAAACACTATTAAATTAAAAGCGTAGTATAAATGATAAAATTATAATCGACAGCTTAGTTTCAATAATTTTTTTTTTTAATATCTGGCCAAGTATAATCGACAGCTTTATGCTGTCGATTATATCATATTCGACACTTATAGGCTGTCGAATATATCATATTTGACAGCTTACGGTTATTGATTATAACTTTATATTTGACAAAATAATTTTTTGTCAATTATAGTTATTTTCGACTACAGTTACTGCAACATTTATGGTTGTCAATTAAGTTATAATCGACAGAAATCCTTATATAATTGACAGTATTAATTTTTTGTCAAATATACTATATTTTCTAATAGTGAAAGAAAGAGAAGCAAAAAAAAAAGGGGGAGGGGGGGAAGAGAAGCAAACAGGCACGTAGAATGTGAAAGGAACCACGCACGTAGATGAAAGTGGAAGGGAGAAGAAACCATAACTAACGTTGAAATTGGAAGAGCTGGGAAAAACTACTGCCCATTCCAGTTCAACGGCCGAACTGAGAGGGAGGATCAAAGGAGTAAGGGATGTGAAGAGTTTTGGGCCGTTTGACATTTGATCCATTTAACTTGGGCTTTAAATGCATAACTCTTGTGTTTATTTTTTTGGAATCAAGTGGGTTTAATTTTTAAATACTCTAAGGCTACTAGATTTAATTATTTAATATCTTGTTATATTATTTAATGTACAAAAGCCAATGACTTGCACCTGCAGCTTCACTTGTCCTGGTTAAGGTGTACAGAACTCTTAACAAATATTAAGATTTAATTTGCCGTAATAACAGCTAATTATCTCTTCTTCTTCTTTTTTAATTTCTCATATTCAAAAAAAAAAAAAATTAATTACTTAAATAATTTAATAATAATTTTTTTTTATTAAAAATAAAAAAATTTAAATTTAAATTATATCGCATGCATGTGAGATGAGATAAAGATAAGAAATATAAAAAAACTTCAAAAAAGAGCAGATGAGAGAGAGGTCGAGAAAGGGTGCGAGGTAATGGAAACAGATCACGGCATCGGCGACGACAACGGAGCAAGAGGTCAGAATGGAGGCACGGGCATCTGAGGAAGGCTTATAGAGAAGATGCTGGGCAAGGCAATCATCGTGAAAGCAAGATGTCAAGGGGATTTGATTGGGCAACCTACAATCAGGCGACGGTCTTCTACTTCTCAAACTTCCCTGAAGATTGGACTTATGAGCAAATGTGGAAAACATTTCTGAAATTTGGGAGAGTTTATGCCATTTATAGCCCAAGAAGGAAGAACAGGGCAGGAAGTAGATTCGGGTTCGTGCGGTTCTTAGATGTCAAAGATGTGAGGAAGCTGGAGAATGAACTCGATCAAATATGGATTCAAGATCGCAAACTCAGGGTGAATTGTCCACGGTTCAAGAAGAACCCAGATACAGTTGCAGACGAGGTGAACAGGCGTAATGTTCAAATGCAAAGGAGAGGAAGCATCTATCCAGAGGCGATGAGAGTCAAAGGACGCAGCTATGCAGATGTGGTGACCGGTCATAACGGAAGGAATGCAAGGATGCAGATGAATGAAACTAACAGGGGAGTGAAGCAAATCTGGAAGGCCAAAACTTCAGAACAAAATTGGACAGGATTGGAGTTTAATCCCAAGCATGAAAACTGGAAGTGGCTTGAAGGATGCTATCTAGGAACGGCAAGATCGGTGGAGATAGTTCCTGTTATTCAGGAGCGACTGTACATGGAGGGATTGTTTGTGGTAAGAGTTCGAGCTATGGGTGGGAAGTTGGTGCTATTAGATGGTGAAGATAAAGAAGAACTAAAGGAGTTGGTAGAATCTGCAGCAGATTGGCTTGGCCAATGGTTTGATGAAATCCGTCCATGGTCTCCCACCTTGGTTGCTAGTGAACGATTTGTATGGGTGAAAATGATGGGAGTTCCCTTAGAAGTGTGGGGGGCAGATTTCTTTTCCACTCTTGCAAGTCTGTGGGGAAAATTTATTTCCCTAGATGAAAGTACCAGCTCAATGAAAAGATTTGATGTGGCGAGAGTACTTGTCTCTACTGCCCAGATGAATCCAATTTCAAGAACACTACGGATTAAAGTCAATGGCCAATTGGTTTGCATTATGTGTAGAGAAGAGGATGGAAGCAATGGTCATTTTCATCTTAAAACTGATCATAATCCAGTTCTTCAATCTGATTCAGAAGACGAGGAATTAGAGTATTGGTCAACTGATCATTATCCAGAAGAGGAATTCGGAGGTAACAGCCATAATTTCCAACGATCTATGTGGTCGGAAGACGGAAACAGTGGAGAAGAAGGATAGATGTGTTGGTGGAGAATAAAAAGGGATGGCTGTCTGATGGATTTGAGGTGCTGGTGGGTGATGGAGGAGATTTAAGCTTCTGGAGGGACTTATGGTGTGGGGAGGAAGTCTTAGCTAACAAATTCCCAAGACTTTATTTGCTTTCTACTGGAACAAATAAT